AGCTGTACAAATTTGTGCCACTACTTTTTTGCTGCTGCAAGTGCATGATTCTCCATGTGGGGATGCATCCTAGGAGTGCACATATATCCCCTTTCAAATATGGACCATCCTGCCAAAGTAATTTAACATCTAAAAGTGATCATCAATAAATCCATACCTCCAGGTGTGTTCAAGGCTTTATGTATAAATTCTGCCGCAGATGAAAAATATTGGCTAATATTGAAGTGCGGAAGGTCATAGGCTGGTACACCATAGTAGTCAATAGTAGTGCCATAAAAGTCATGTCCTCCTTCGCAGAACATTGTACCATGGGCAGCATTTAGAACATGAGTGATTCCCATCTTCCATAAACCAAACCTGTTGTGAGCTGTAACTCTATGAAAAAGACAAACAAAGTAACAAAGAGATATTGGCAGAGTAGGAAAAGTTGTCTTATTTGTGTTTAGTCTTTTTTATGTGGCATATAATTATAATGAATTGTTTCTTGGGACTGCATTACAATTAATGATCCCAGGAAGAATTTTACCTAAAACTGATTTTAGGGCCTGCAGTATTAAAATGTTCACCAGATAAAGAACAAAGTTGCTAAATGCATCACTTGTTAATAAGAAGTAGGAGTACAAGAAATGGATCCGGTTGAAAGAGGCAAAAAATACAGTCCTGCTGTTAAAATTTACTGAGCCATTCAATAAAGTTATACTTACAAGTCTCCTAAAAAGAGGTTAGGCCATACTTCATCAACATGATTACAAGAAGGGCGCCCAGCATTCAAAAGCTGCTCTATGTCTTTAACAGTTGGAACCTCAGCCACGCACATGCCAGCACCTTCAGGCTCCTTTGAAAGAAACACAGCTGCTTCAGCCATTGTTATTCAAACAAAACCAGTGCTTTCCAAAATCCAGGAGACTGAATAACCAATGCCTTGTTTACTTCAGTGTTTTCAACAATCCTAGTTGTCATTTTCAGTTCATGGGGACTGGTGGCAACAGGTGCTGGTCAGCAGCTGGCATGTAGCCAATTAAACACACTGTAGAAGAACTGCTGTTGCACTCACTTAGGAAAGAAAGTCATTGAATGAACTCTGACATGACAAGGCATAACTCTCAAGAGCTATGGAAGCCCAGAAGCTCCCTAAAGTCCTAATAAGTTTGCTGAGTCCTAGATGCCTCTTTCTTAAGTTAACACATTAAAAAGACTTAGTGGTAGAGAGTGATCCTCTCACTTTAATTTTTTCAGGTGAAATTATTCACTTGAAAAAATGCAACTCAGATGCAGATGCTGTCTCCAAACCCTAACAACAACAGCAATGGCATTATATTCAACCTTATGTACACATTTGGTTCCTTGCCTGCAGTGTACCATAATTTCCCCAGATATATCTGTGATTAAGCACAATCAGATCTTAGACAATGAGCTAGGAACACGCATTTAGAAAGATCTATCCATGCTTTAACCATAATAAAAGGCCTGATGAAGAATAACTACAAACCTGCTAGTCACAGATAGAAAGAACACAAAGGATAGTACAAATGCAACTACAATAAAACTACAGATACCCCAAGGTGTTCCAAAGACATAGTAACCATGAGAACAGATATCAAATCAGTTATGATGTCATGGTGTGCCGCCCATGCTTTGAAGTGTCTTACTGGATGAAACTACTGACTTTTCATCTTGGGCAATGATCCTCAAACCACAGCAGGCACAGGAAATTGCTCACAGACACAGGAAATAAAGTTAAACCTAAGGTTGATGGGGAGAGAACAGTATGATGTTGCCTGCTTGGTGTTTTTGCCCAGGGATCAGTGAAACTTGGGACCACTGACATAAGGGATACAATCTATAGCCATATGTTTTGTACTTTTTCATTCTGATTATAGCTTTCATAATTAATACTGTTTACCACATTTCTGCATGACCAGTTGTTTTCATTGAAGAGCAGCCAAGGAATGAAATGGGGTACAAAGTGTTTTGTTTATGCCACTTCCACAATATTTTCAATGGTGCTGCTGAGAAGCACATGCCAAACCTGGGAAGGAGGCAGTAAAGCTACCCCGAAGGTATTCCACTCTGCTGACTCTCAAGATTTCTGTCTCTGGAGTGCTTGAGAGTGGCTCATTTCTGGGTTTGGTAGGTAGGAAGAGGTGAAATTTACCATCAAGTGGATACTTGAATATTTACTGTTGTAATGCCTATTGGGCTAGATTGTTTTCTTACAATCCCTCTTAGGGAGAGGCAGTGATTTACTGAATATTTACATTATGGTATTGTAACAGAGAGGAAAATAAGAAAAAATTGTGCTTAGGCAATCGAGAGTGAGGCTAGCTATAAAGAAATAGACAGCCAGAGCCCATAAATGGGAAGTGCCTATTGCTATGCTAGTTGCACAGCAATTGTACAATAGTAGAGAAACCTGGGGAAGTAGCAAGAAACATACTGCAATACTAGGCGATTCCTCACATTAGTACAAAACAGTCTTATGTTGGAAACAAGGCAAGACAACTGCTAGGTCTGCTGCTATAGGCTATCCTGAAGGGGAGTAAGCAAAGTTCATTAGAGGGCACCTGCAGATGGCCCAGGGAGTTGCCTGACCAGAAAGGGGCAGGGCTTGGATGGCATATAAACCCAGACCAGAGCTAGGGCAGTCAGTCTGTTCATGAAGCTCTGCAGTAAGATGCCTGCTGATGAGAGACAGACCTGAGATCCTGTTCTCCCTGAGACATGTCAGCAAGGAGCCGAGGGCTGGAAACGGATTAGATTCAGTATGGAGGGGGATTTCAGAAAATAGCCAGTGTGCTTAGAGAAATAAGTTGTAGCCACTGCACTTAGGTTTGGGGTTTAAATTTTAACTGGTAGACCAGTTTTGGGACTATAGAGAAGGTCAGGAAGTCCCAGTAGTGCCAGAAATGCACATGAGGCTTGAGCCTGCTGGTGGGCAGGGTAAGTGGTTGTAAAGCGACTGAGAAGGGCCAAGCCAGGGGCCTTCAACCCAGAGGAGGCCAGAGACAAGGTACCAGGGCCCACAGCCCAGAGTGGACTGGAGATGAGGATCCAGGACCCACTGAACTGGTTGATTGTTACACTTGTGAGGCATAGGCACAGCTACAAGAGAGGATGGAGGTCCTGATTAGCCCATAAGGCAGTGAGTGCCCTTGAGGTGGCACATGTGGACCAAGAGGGCCCACCTAGTGGGAAAGCTTGATTGAGACTGGTGGGTCTGAGAGGGATCCATGGATATGGGGAGCGGTGTTCGGAAGCAGGACAAGTGGATGGGGGCAGCAACAGTACAGGGACATGCAGGGATGGGATCGTGGCTCTGCCCTGCACTCTAACTGCCCTGCAATCCT